AACAAGTTGTTTCTTGGAACACCAAGAAGTAGGACCTCCCAGAAATTTGAATAAGTACCCAGAAGTACTTTTTCTGTCAACTCTATCTCCGCACCAATCAGAATCTGAATAACTCGGAAGTTTTGATTCAATCTTTCTTCCAGACGGAAATAACACTCCATACTTCAGAGTTCCCTTCACATACCTCAGAATCCTGACAGCAGCTTGATAATGAGACCACTTTGGTTTACTCATAAATTTGCTAATCATTCCAACTGCATAGAAAATATCAAGTTTGGTATTACACAAATACCTCAGGGAACCAACCATCAGTTTGAAGGTTGTAGCATCCACATCCTCTCCATCAGAATCAGAGTCAAACTTCTGATTTGTATCAGCAGGTGTGATAACAACTTTGCAATTCTCTAACTTAAATCTCTTCAGAAGCTCAAGTTCATACTTCATCTGATGCAAAATGATTCCTTTCTCAGAGTACATAAATTCCATCCTTAGAAAGAAACTCATTTTCCCAAGATCTGTCATCTCAAACTCATTCATCAAAACCTTCTTGAATTCAACTATCTCTTGTTCAGAACTTCCTGTGAGAAATATGTCATCAACATACAAACATACCAGAATCATATTACCTTCTGAAGTATGCTGAACATAAACACCATACTCCATCTCACACTTCTGAAACCCTTGTCCCTTGAAAAATGAATCAATCTTCAAATTCCAAGCTCTGGGCGCTTGCTTCAATCCATACAAGGCTTTGTGTAATTTAAACACCATCCCTTCCTGATTCTTTTTCTCAAATCTAGGAGGTTATGATACGTATACCTCTTCTTGTAATGGACCATTCAGAAATGCAGATGTTACATCTAAGTGCATCAGATGCCAATTCCTGTTAGCAGCTATTGCAATCATTAGTCTTATTGTTTCATGTCTCGCTACAAGTGCAAACACTTCAGAGTAATCCAGTCCGGGCTTTTGTAGAAAGCCTCTTACTACTAATCTTACTTTATGTTTGCCAATTGATCCATCTGGCTTTAGCTTCTGCTTGAAAACACATCTAACGCTGATGGCTTTCTTGCCTTTTGGAAGTTCTGCCAGCTTCCAAGTCTTGTTTCTCTCTATAGCATCAAGTTCTTCTTTCATGGCCTGCAACCAGACTTACTGCTTAAGAGCCTCTTTCGTACTCACGGGTTCAGAGTTTGCTAACATTGCACACTGAATAACTTCTCCTTCAAAGTCTACTTCAGTGTCTTGCAACATGTCAAACTCTACAAATCTTCTTGGGATGCTTCTGACTCTTTGTTGCCTCTGAACTGGAACTTTAGGACCTTGGACACCAGAACTTTCCCCTTCAGAAGCTCTTACTTCAGAATTTTGACTTTCTCCAGAACCTTGACTATCTTCAGAGTCTAGAAAATTTCCAGAGTCTGAATCACCATCGGAGTCAGAGTCAGAATCATCTTCTCCTTCTGTATCTTCTTTAGAGTCAGGGTCTTTACCAGCTTCAAAAACACATGTTTCTGACTTTTCTTCAGAAGTTTTCTCATCAGAGTCAGGATGAGACCTTTCCCAATTCCAAACTTATGATTCTTTTACAATGACGTCTTTATTGAACTCAACTTTGTTAGTTTCTGGACAATAAAGTTTGTACGAGCCTGTACTGTGGTACCCCACTAGTAACATTATTTTACTTCTATCATCCAACTTCTGTCTTCTGGCTTCTGGAACATGTTTGTAACATACAGAACCAAACACTTTCAGATGACTAACACTTTGCTTATCGCCAGTCCACTTCTGAATAGGAACTATTTCCTTCAATTTCTTTGTTGGACATCTGTTAAGCACATAACATGAAGTGGCAACAACTTTTCCCCACAGAGTATGAGGAAGCTTCTTCTCTTTCAACATGCTTCTCACCATATCAAGCAAAGTACGATTTCTTCTTTCAGCAAGACCATTGTGTTGAGGAGTATATGGAGCAGTAACCTCATGCTCAATTCCATTATCCTCACATAACCTTCTGAATTTTACGGAGTTATACTCACCACCACCATCAGTTCTAAGAATCTTCAGAGTCCGGTCACTCTGATTCTCAATCTTCAGTCTGAACTTCTTGAATTCAGCAAACACCTCGTGTTTGAACTTTATGAGAGATACCCGTGTCATTCTGGTGAACTCATCAACAAATGACACAAAATATTTATTCCCTCTAATCGATGCTACTGGAAATAGACCGCACACATCAGAATGCACTACTCCCAAGGCATGCTTTGCTCTTGGAGCTACTTTTGATGCAAATGGTAATCTTGGTTGCTTCCCTTCCATGCACACCTTGCATGAATTCTCAGGATTCTTGAATGTAGGAATTCCATGTACCAGCTTCTTTGATTTCAGATGCCCTAAGCTTCTGAAATTCAGATGACCAAATCTTGTGTGCCACAACTCACTCTCCTTGACAACACTTGTTACACTAAGACATTCAGAGTCTGCAGTTCTAACATTCACCTTGAATGTTCTATTCCTTCCCTGTTCCGACTCCATAATCAGCTTCTGATTACAATCATAAAGCTTCAAAAGATTGTCCTTCATGGTAATCGAAAAGCCTTTCTCAATCAGTTGTCCCACACTCATCAGATTGCTTTTCATGCTAGGTACATACCACACATTCTGGATCAATGATGTTTTCCCATTGTTTAGAATGACTCTGACATTTCACATACCTTCTGCATTGAGGTATTTATCATCAGTACATCTGATCTTTGTACTCTTCCCATAATCAAAATCAACCAACAATTTCTTGTTTCCAGTAAGATGGTTTGAACACCTTGTGTCCATATACCACCATGTTAGGGGAGATACTAGGAGCATTGATACATAGTGTATGAATAAGCACCTTTAAAGTTTTAGGTGGATAAGTGGTGTGTCTCTCACAAATGTGCTTATTCCTACGCTATGTATCGATGCTTCTAGTCTCTCCCCCCAACGTGGTATTAGAGCATTTGGTTCGAGAAAGAGACCGGAAGAGACTTGTATTGAAACACTCTCAGGAAGTGGTGTTCTGTTGCAAGATGTCAATGAAGATACAAGTGGGGGAGCATTGTGGACTCACACTTGAGGGGGAGTATTGGAATAATATAGCAAGTGTGAGTAAGTGGGAAAATATATAAGTGAGAGAACTCACTCACCTATCACCTTAAGGTTTTAGGTGGATAAGTGGTGTGTCTCTCACAAAGGTGCATAGTCCTATACTATATATCAATGTTATTAGTATCTCCCTCCAACACAATCATTTGTGTTATTTTATATATTGTTAAAAAATTTAAGAAAAGTTTGTCGTTTATTATAGTCGTATAAAACTCGAGGAATTAGCATTTTCAATCGAACGCATAAGACACCCAATTTATATAAAGTTAAAGTCATACATTTTTAAATATCAAACGTTTATGAATAATTAATGGTGTAATTTTTTTTCTCCACTTTTCATATATATTAAAATTCAGATTGACTTATATTACAATTCGGGTTGACTTGACATATTTTTGAGTTTATAACTTGTAATGTATATGACAATAAAAAAAAGTTTAAAACGATTTTTTTTTATAAACTAAATTTATAACTTATTTTACTAGTTTATAACTTATTTTTTACGTGTTATTTTAAATAGTGATTTAATTTATAACATATAACTTATCATTTTTTCTTTACTTTTACTCTTATTATTTTAACTAAACTCATTTTTACTCTTTATAATTTATTTTAATTTAAAATAAAACAATTATGCATTAAATATAATAAATACCAATTATGTCTTTATATATTTATCAATTAGTTAAAATCAATAATTTTATCAAACATTTTAATTAGTTTATTAGTTATTAGGCATTAAATATCAATTATAAATTATAAATTATTACTTATCAATCATCTATCATAAACTATAAACTATCAATTGGTTTATTATTTTATCGCTATTTTTATCGAATACAGGTTAAATAAACTTTTAATAATTATAATTAATTGATAATATAAAAATTATTTACAAATACCATGCATTTGAGTTGAATATTATAAAGTTTTGTATATTAGTTAATAGTGTATCAAATAAAGAAAGAAAAAAAATTGAATTGGATTGCATCTAATAAAGAAAGTAAAAGAGGTTTAATTAGGAAAAACAAAAACAAAAATAAAAGGTAGAAAACATGAAGTACTTTCCATCTGTGATATCAAGAATCGAAAGTAAAATAGTTTCCATCTCTGAAAATAATCCAATTAAAAAAATTAAAAAAAGAGTAAACGACGAAATGATGATCACAAACTAGTCCTCTCTCTTCTTCCTCATTTCTTCACACCGATAATCCCGGGACTTTACTTTCTCTCTCTAAAAACACACACACTCTCTCTCTTACTCTCTCACTCATTTCGCTTTCATATGAGATTTTGATGCTGTAAGATCCTTTTGCTGTTTCAATTCAATTTTCAACTCGGTTTGATTCTGCAAGTGTTGTTTGATTGATTTTGAATTTGATTTCAGGTGCGTGATTTTGGTTTTGATTTTGTTTCGTTTATCTATTTGAAGGATTTGATTTGTACTGTGTGAAATTGAGTGTGTTTGATCAGGATAATGCGGATCATCACTGTTTGGACTGAAGATGTCTGCTGGTTAATTGCTCAAGCTTTGTTGAATTTTATGGTTTTTGTGATGTTTTTTTAATGTTTATATTAGGTTTGATTATGGTATTTGATTGTTTTGATTTTGATATGAACTGAAATTGATTCATTTGTTTTCAGTAGTTTTTTCGAACATTGCGAATTTGATCAAGGTTTTTGAAGTCTGATTTTTCTGTTTAATTTGGATCTTAGGGAATGGTTGTGTTTTCTGATTTTTATTTGCAGATTGTTCCGATTTTTCTTCAAACTTATGTTTAGGTAGTTTTAAATATTGTCGCCTAAAGGCTTTCGTGATTTCGGTTGGTACAGGTGTTGCGACGCTGAATACGGTTGTTGTGATGCTGAATGCGGTTGTTGCGATGCTAATTAACTACAATTTGTTCTTTAACTTGAATAATGGTATCTGTAATGGTGCTTTCCGATACTGTTTTGTTGCGGTCACGGACCGTTTCTTTAAGCCTTTTAATTACGTTCTTAATGTCACATTTGCTTCCTTACTCCGACAATTTTTTTTTTTGTTGATATTTGGTTATTTGTGTTTACCCTCGTCTCAATTGTGTTGTGTTATTTATTCTGAAATGAATCCTTACATTTCTTTTTGTTTATTTTCATTGGTTAGGATCCATATTTACTTTCGATTTAAGGACTTTTAGAGTCTCTTTAAGACTCTATCTGTATGTTGAAGTTTTGCTTTTGATCAGCTAAACAAACGTTTTCGTGCTTAAGTATATTGATTCATTACCATTTTATTTTCTGTTTTGACAGAAGTAAGAGTGAATGTGCTGTTTATTGTCGTGGTGAAAAACGGCTCCTTGATTTCTTTGCCACCGAAATGAGAAATTTGGTTTACAAACCTTTTAAGTAGTTGGTGAAATAGCATATATAACACAGTGGGATTAAGATTTGTATAAAATGGATGGTTGCTGGTTTCATAAGTTCAAGTCAAACAAGGATAAAATGCAGTCTTCAAAAAACAAGGAAACTGCAAGCGTTGTGAAAGAAAGGTCAAAGCCCCCAACAAATGACGAAGCTCCTTCAAATGTCACCGTACAGAAAGTTGCAGCTGCAAAGCAGTACATAGAAAATCATTATAAGAAGCAGATGAAGAACCTGCAGGAGAGAAAAGAACGGTACGCCAACTTAAGATTTGCATCATTATGACGGTGAAGCTGTTATTGATGAGTTTTGTAATATGTAAAATAGTTGTTTTAACTAGTTGTCATCTCTTAAGGAGATATAAATGAGAGTTTTCGTTAATGTCCTTGCTCACTGTTACCCCTGACCAACGAGGTGGCAACTAGTATTATTCTTTGACATTTGAATATAATTTTGCATGATGTTCTTTGCATATTATCTTGTAATGTCTCCGGTGTGCTTCTATACGAGTTAATGCAAATAACATCTACAAACGGAAATTGTTGTATGCTCTTAGTAATACTAAGCATGTCATTCTTGCAGACGTAATATGCTCGAAAGAAAGTTGGCTGACTCTGAAGTCTCCGAGGAAGAGCAGAACAACTTGCTTAGGTTTTTTGAGAAAAAGGAGAGGGAATACATGCGACTTCAGAGGCATAAGATGGATGCTGATGATTTTGAGCCCCTGACTATGATAGGGAAGGGTGCATTTGGAGAGGTACAGTCTGCCTTAATTTCTATTGAAGTAAAGCCATGTTTCTGATCTTTTCCATATGTTACTTTGACCTTGTTAGAATATTCGAAAAATATCTTGTTCTCATTACTACATAATTCTGCCATAAAACATTATAGTGTCTTCTAGGTAATCTCTTTATCCCACACTTTTTTTTTTCATAGTATAAATGTGGATTAGTTGTTTTTCTTATGTAACCTCAACAAACAATATCAATATAATTTATTAATATTTAATATTGCAATTTTTTTGGGGTATAGGTCAGAATCTGCCGAGAGAAGGCAACTGGTAATGTATATGCTATGAAGAAGCTTAAGAAATCAGAGATGCTTCGCCGAGGCCAGGTACTGAAATCATCAGGGCCTTCTCAGATTGTTGTATGAATTGTGCCTTGTTATGCATGTCGGTAAATTTTACATCATTGTTTAGGTTGAACATGTAAAAGCCGAGAGGGACCTACTTGCAGAAGTTGACAGCAATTACATTGTAAAGCTTTATTGTTCCTTTCAAGACGAAGACTGTTTATATCTTATAATGGAGTATCTTCCTGGTGGTGATATGATGACATTGCTCATGCGGAAGGATATACTGACAGAGTATGAGGCCAGGTTCTATGTTGGGGAGACTGTCCTAGCTATAGAGTCTATTCATAAACATAATTATATTCATAGGTAAGGTCAAGCAGTAAATAATAATGTCACATTGTGGAAATTTTGTTATAACGATCTTACACTGTTTTTATTTTCTTGTGCGTTAAAAAAGAACTGAGATTCTGATTTGATATGGTTTCCAGAGATATCAAGCCTGATAACTTGCTGCTAGATAGACATGGTCACATGAAATTATCAGACTTTGGATTATGTAAACCACTAGACTGCAGTAATCTTCAGGAAAAGGACTTCTCTACTGGAATCAACAGAAGTGGAGCCCTTCAGAGCAATGGACAACCTGTGGCTCCTAAAAGGACCCAGCAGGAGCAGCTGCTGCATTGGCAGAAAAATAGGCGAATGCTTGTAAGTCACATCAAATTTACATCAGTAGGCATGGCTGCTTTCTTCCTTATGAATTTTCAGAGTAACTGTTCTTTTTATTGCTTCCCCTGTTAACTAACAAACTATGTGTATTCTATATCTATATTGTTATTTATAGCTACTTTTAACTGTATATAAATCTGGTGACTTTTTGTTCTGACTTCTATTGGGAAGTTTCCAAAAAAAAGTAAAATTCCCATGTTCCAATGAAGACTCCAGACTTATGACATTTGGAATTTTTCTCTGTAACACTGCAGGCCTATTCTACAGTAGGAACACCTGACTATATTGCCCCTGAAGTTCTCCTGAAGAAAGGATATGGCATGGAATGTGATTGGTATAGTATATATTGTGTTTTTCTTTTCAAAATTACTTTCAAGTTTTCTTCTTTTTATAAACTAAATATTCTTTCCATGTACTCTAATGAGATTATTATAATGATTCCAGGTGGTCTTTGGGAGCTATAATGTATGAAATGCTTGTGGGATATCCACCCTTTTATTCAGATGAACCAATGTTAACTTGTAGAAAGGTAACGTGTGGATCAACTGTTGATGAATTACAATGTGTGGATTGAGGTTTAGCACATTTGTAGGACTGCGTTCAGGGAATTCTATTATTATTGATATTTGCCTCTAGATAGTAATGTAAGGCTTAAATACAAGTTATTTGGTATTTTTCAAAAAATGAAGGTTTTGCCCTATATTGAGAATTGTTTCTTTCTGTTCCTTTGATATGATATTGATTCCCTTCTTATAGTAGCATCAAGGATGTGGCTCACAATATATTTGGACCTATTGACCAGTACTGATAGTTTATAATTTATAGTTTGATGACACATTTTAGTTACTAAAATTCTATAATGGGTCTATCCTCTTCCTTTTTACTGCCTGTGATTTTTTTAATCTTTATAATCATATTGTATCCCCTACTTTCATATTTGCAGATAGTCAATTGGAGAAATTATTTAAAATTTCCAGAAGAAGCTAAACTATCAGCAGAGGCAAAGGATCTTATTAGTAGACTCCTATGTAATGTGGAACAGAGGCTTGGAACCAGAGGGGCTGATGAAATAAAGGTGTTTTGGCGTGTTCTTTTCTAATTCTGTAATTTATTATGGGTTGCAGTTCAACATTAATAAAATAATTGGCTGGTCTTTATATTTCAAGGCTCACCCATGGTTCAAAGGTGTTGAATGGGATAAATTGTACCAAATGAAAGCTGCTTTTATTCCTGAGGTCAATGATGAATTGGATACTCAAAATTTTGAGAAATTTGAAGAGGTATGTTATATATGCTTATTTCAAGGATATAAAAGTTTTATATTTTGGTGCAATCCAGTATTATAGCTCACTCTCTTGATTTCCTTTAATGTGCAGGTGGACCGCCAATCTCAACCTTCCTCAAAATCAGGCCCGTGGAGAAAGGTTCGATTTTGTTTGAATTTTTTGTATAGTTGATGTGTTGTGTTAGTTTCTGTAATTGTATTTGTGGCATTGTTAGTTTAATAGGCTAATATTTTTACTAGGGGCTCTTTCAGAGCTCATTTATTTTTCCTTGAAGCTTAACTGATATATTGTGAAATTATTGGAATTTCTTTATCAATAATAAAGCTTCTATGATATGCTCTGATGTTTTTCTTTTCTTTTGAATCCTGGTTTATGTCTGTCTACCTATTAATTTGTCTACTGCCTATTTGCATTAGTTTCTGTTTCTATAAAACAATAAATACCTTGGACATGTAACATGCCATGTAATAAGCATAATGTAAGGTTCTTTGAAGTAGTTTGAGTAATAAGTTAATTAAGGGCATGTTTGGAAACACTGAAAACAAAGTGGTATTTTTGTAATTAAAACTGAAAACTGATAATGTTTTCTGAAACGAAATCTTTGATTTTGGGTCTACTTCAACCAACAAAACTAGCTTGCAAGGTTAGGGGTGTCTGTTCTTTATTAACTGTTTTCAAACTTTATATTTAGTCAACACGGGAGTTAGATTTTTCCAATACTCCCCCTCACACCTAGTAGTAGCACTATTAGTCTTGGTGGGTAGCCTAGCTCAATAACAAATTTAGGATAGATTTTGATACTATTATACAATTCGGCCTGGCTCATTTTAGGGAGTTTCTCAATCCACCCCCTAGAAACACGAGAGGTGAAGGATCCTTTCGATAGTGTATTTTTTGAATATTTGAGTATATAAGGAGGTAGATTGAGAAACTCCCCTCATTCTATTGAGGGGTGTCAATTTTTTACAAACTCTTTTCAACATCAACTTGACTTTTTCTCAATATCAAACACACATCCTATTTTTGCTTGCATCATATTTTTCTTTATGCTTGTAGCATGCTTCCAATGGAATAGTTAGTTTGAAGATAATTGATTTACTTTAGATGGCACTAGAATTTTACACAACTCTTTGTAATAGTGGATACAAATGTTTCCTCACTGAAATTCATGGATAGTATTGATGAGGAACATGCAATTTCTCAAGTCTGGATTTGTAACCTAGATTTGTTATTTGCTGCAGATGCTGTCATCTAAGGATGTTAACTTTGTTGGCTACACATATAAGAACTATGAAATCGTGAATGATAATCATCTATCTGGAATGGGTTAGTACATCTTCAATTTTAACCTATTCATCTTATTGTTGCAATTGTTTGGTTGAACCTATTCATCTTGCTTCCATAATTTTTTTCCATGATAAAAAAGTCCTCTTCAACATATTGTTGCTTGTCCTCGGTGACTCTTTGGCACTGGTGAATTTATAAATCTAACCGAATGTCTTTTGCACCATTAGTTTTATTTCATTTCAATCTTGTTTGAGGAAGCTTTATTTTGTATAGCAGAACATGAGGTGTTTATTAGCAAGCTCGTCACACTCCCATGCTAGCCATTGGATAATACCTTAATCTGACTGTAACTTGTTTTGAAAACGGTCCAGGTTGTTCACATTCCTTGTAAAGTTTGTGCAAAGTATCTTGGATCTTTTCATACTTAATCAGCTTATGGTTTCTACTGTTTTAAGTTTACTAAACACTTGCCAGCTTATATGAACCCATTTTATTGACGTCTCTAATGCAACATGTCTTTGAAAAAACTGTGGCTGCTTACTAGAAATAGAGTTATGTATGTTATTCCTATCCATTGTTAATTTCTTGTTACCTCATTTGCACTGCATATTCATACATTATATTTGGACACCAATATCTGTAACTAATTTTTTATTTTGAAGTGTCAATCCACTTCAATAAACTGTGATCTTGTCGATCCTTGCAAACTTATGTAATTTATGCACTCATTGTCTTTATTGTCCCCCCTGAAGCCCCCCAAATTTTATTTTTCCATTTCTTAGTTGATTCGTCATTGCAACTTGTCTCCAAAAATAATGTGTTTTATCTTATCAGCTGAACTGAAGAAGAAGAGCACAAAACCTAAACGGCCATCTATTAAGACCCTATTTGGTAAGAAGAATATGCTCATTTTTCGAGTGTTTTTTACTTCATACTGGAAAAGTAGCAATGACTAATGATTTGCTTGAGATCTAATGGTTCACCTTACCTGTGGTTAATGTTGTTGATTAACCTAACAAATCATGATTATTTGCCTCCGGCACCTCCAGCCAAATTTTAATCATTGGATTAATATAACAGATGAGAGTGTTGATCTCTTAACAGTTAAATTAATCAAATGGCTTATTTTTTCTTGAAGAGGCTGCATACTCTTGATCTTACTGCTACAGCTACTTGTAGAGACATCAATTTCTTGACTGTCTTCTGGTTTTTGTTGAATAAACTGTGCTATTTACGTGCTACAGATGATGATTCGGCTACGAGTGCCAATCAACCTGGCCAAGGGAGCTACTCAACAGGAAGTTCCAGAGGAAAGTGAATACTCACAGTGATAGAAAGTAGAAACCAATAATACTTTACAGGTTTTATAGATGGATTAGTAAATGCAAAGTTGAATGCTGATTGTTTTACTCTTTCATACATTCTTTTGTTACTTATGGGAGGGGTAACCTCTGAAACTGTGATTTTGGGCTGAGTGAGGTATTTGTCGCTGTTTAGGAAAATCTCTAGATATATATGTTTCTGTACATTATTGGTCGGTGGTGTATTCTTTTGTTCACCATTTTTTTTAAACTGCAATATGATATAAGTGGTTTATGTTATTGATATATTGTAATTAAGTCACTGCTTAAGTGATGACTTAATTTGTAAGAATGCTTTTTATTTCTTCTGTCAAAAAGAAAAGGTTGCTTCTTATTTCTGGTACGACTCCAAGAACTCCATTTTCTACAAATCCAATATTTTTTCTCACTCTTTCTTCAATATACGTATCACTTAAGTATGATATTAGAAAATATTAAATGAACGATAATACTAATAGTATCTGTGACTATTTGTTAAAAAAGAAAAAGAAACTAGTAAGGTAAATACTTTGCTAGTATTTTTTTTTCTGGTCTAGATTGTGCTCGGAAAAATGATTTTAATGAGAAAAAGTTGTTTTTATTTTTTAAAAAAATTTAAAATGATTTAATTAAATCTACTGTTTAAGAAAAAAAAAATATATAGAGAATCGTTTAAATGATAAAAATTTAAGAAGTATTTTATTTATGTAAAATTTAAATCTATTATAAAAAAGACAAGATGTTCTGAAAATGACAATATTACCCTTTCTGCATTTGGTCCAATCACATTCTTTTCTATTTAAGTCCACTTCTCAAATAGACAAAAAGTACCTTTTGATTTTGGTCCAATCACGGTTGCTCTCTTCTTCCTCACTTCAGAAACTATTCACGCCTAAATACAATCAATGATACACTGTCCTAATTAATGCTTTTTGCGTTCCCAAACTCAACCTTCCAAATTCAAGTGATTCAATGGTTTATGTATTCCCTGTATCATTCTTCCCTCCTATAAGTAAGGTTGAATCAAAACAATGCAGACTCCACATCTTGAGTAGTGTTTTAATCATCTTCTTTGCCGTGTGTTCCGTAGAAAAATCCTCCTTCTTTCTTTTCGAATAGTCATGTCTGATTTCGTGTTTTGTTATTTGATTGCAAAATCTTTTATTGGCTTTCTTTTCTCTCCGACCCAATGCTCTTAATATAGAGGTTCATGTGAATAGATTGTCTATGGATTATTATGAAAGTGGAGAACTAAATGTTGGTTTTTGTTTTCTATGTAATGGTGCAGTGAAAGCTGCAACTGGATTCATGAAATTTCAAAAGTGATCTATCTTACTTGACTATAACTTTCGTGTTTCAGTTTACTGATTTAAGGCTCGTATGAGCTTGCCTTCTATGTATTTGATGAAAAGCATGAATGACACAATGGTTGTCATTGTTGCGTTTCATAAGTAGTTAATTTCTACATGATGAGATATAATCATTCTCACCTAGTAGTGTTGAGTGATAATTGTTAGATTTTTTATTTTTTTTTGTTTATGATAAACATGTTTCAGATTATAGATTAAAAAAATATATAAAAACAATATTTAAAAAACATTGTTTAGTGCTTCTGTAATCTAATGTTTATGTAATTTTGATAATTTTAATGATACTTTTGTATCACCAAATCCATTTGTTTAAGGTGAACGTGTATATAGGATTTCACTAACCATAATATGCAGTGATGGATAATTAAATTTGAAACGGTTTGTATGTTCTCAATAAATAATGAATCTCTTTTATTTTGGTTTGTTTTTCATCTTGTGTCAGTTCGGGTATATAGCTCTGCATAATGGTTTTTTATACTTTGTTTATATACCAGCTCTATTGTGTTTTGATGATGTTCTTTTTTGCTTAGAATGCATGAAACTACATTTTACAGGAATGATGTATCTACAGCCTGGTCATGCTCCTTTGGTCTTCCAATTGATATATGGTATCTCTTATGTCTAGAAAACAACTTAGCTGTGACAGATCTTCAAAACAGTTCCTGCTGGTAAAACTATTTATCAACAACCAGCTAGAAAATTACATAGTTATAAGCATAAATATATCTTCTGAGATTCACAACTTCTGGATGTCTTTCTATAATATATTTGTCAATGTGAAAATGCGGCCTCACACTCATAATTATTCATGTATACCAAACTAACTCATAACTCATTATTTCCTATTAAATTTGTAACTTTAGATATTTGCCTTTGTTGGAAATCCGCCAAAAACAATGATGAATTTCTATCAATCTTGATGCTCAAGATTAATATCACCACAGAATAACAATGAAAAATAAAAGATGAAGAAAGAAAGAAAGTATTTTTCTGCAGAGTTTTTCTTTTCCATAAACTGTGAAAAACTTTATTATTCACTTGCAACTACAAATTCTGTGAATGAATGAATTGATTACAAGAATAAGAGTTACTCCCTATTTATAGATTTAGGTTAGCTTGCTCCATAAGTCAAAGCCCAAAACTATAAAAGTCCAAAACACTTATTTTAGAACTAAATTAAATATATATATATTTTAGACCTAAATCAAATCTTATCTATTCTAGATCTAAAACAAATCTGTGTGTAACAAACTGTTTTCACATTTTAAAATTAAATCAAATCTTTTCGACATTCACTTGTCTCTGTCAAGCAAACTGCTTTGACATAAAGAATTACTTTCAACACACCAGCTAATTCATTGTGTCTAAGCTATCTACATTCATCATAGCTCTTAATCTTCGAAATATTTCGACCTGCACACCCTTTGTCATGATGTCTGCAATCTGATTTTCAGTTCTGTAGTGTTCCAAGTTCATATTCACATCTGTTACCTACTCTTGGAGATAGTGACACCTCATTTCGATGTGCTTGCTTCAACCGTGTGTTATCGGGTTCTTCGCTAGGTTGATAACTAACATGCTATCGAACTTCATGGTAACTACTCCATGATCTTTCTCTGTGATTTATTTGACCAAGTTCATATTCATGTTGTTTGACATGCACAAAGAGAAACATCTATGTACTCTGCTTCTCTTGATGATAATGTCATCACTGGTTCCTTTCTCGAACTCCAAGCAATTGGTGCACCACCTAACATGAATACATATCCTGCTCTAGATTTTTGATCCTCAGCATCACTACACCAACTTAAATCAGTGTACCCCACTAACTTGTAATTTTTTTCTTTATCAACTACAGGAAACAAAATACCATAATCAAGAGTTTCTTTTAGATACCTCAGTATCCTCTTCGCCGCTGCTAGGTGTGATACCTTTGGCTTATGCATGAATCTATTTATCATACCCACATTATATGCTAAGTCAGGCCTTATGTGATAAAAGGTATCTTAATGACCCAATAAGTCTTCTGTATTGGGTTGGATCGACGTCATTGTTATTTGCATCTTTCGATAGTTGCAGTCTTGATTCTGCATGTGTCAAAGTTGAATTGCACTCTTTCATCTCAATCTCTTGAGAATTTCACTTGCATATCTTCTTTGATGCATCATTAAACCTCTTCTACTCTTGTAGAATTCGATGCCAAGGAAATATGAAATATCACCCAGGTCAGACATTTCGAATTCCTGTTGAGATCACCTTTGAAGTCTTCGATCTCCTTCTTGCAACTACATGTTATTAACAAGTCATCGACATTGAGACATAGTATAAGCAATTCACTATTGCTTCTTCTTACATATAATCGATATTCAGTTGTGCACTTTATAAATTCCTTCTCCCTTAAAAAACTATCAATCTTCTTATTCCAAACTCTTAGAGCTTATTTCAATCTATACATGGTCTTATGCAACATGTACACCTTTCTCTCTTTGCCATGCTTCACAAACCCAACTGGTTGTTTAACATAAACTTCTTCGTCTAAGGGTCCATTTAGGAATGCACACTTTATGTCCATCTGACATATGTGCCAACTATTTATTTTTGCTAGACCAGCAACCAACCTGATTATTTAAATTCTAGCAACAGGTGCAAAACTTCATCGAAATCTATTCTTTCTTTCTGGAGAAATCCTTTCGCCACAAGCCTTGCTTTGTGTCAAGTTACTTCCCCTTTGGGATTCATCTTTACTTTTTATATCCACTTGACATCAATTTTCTTCTTGCCTTGAGGCAATTCGACAAGTGACCAGGTGTTGTTGTCTTCGATGGACTTCACTTCTTTATTCATTTCTTTCACGCACTTCGAATTCTTCAATGCTTCAACTGCATTGACTGGTTCGACATCTGCATAGAAAGCATATTGTACCATCTCACCTTCATTATCAACCACATCATCTGATGTAATCACACAGTCTTGCAACCTTGCAGGCATACATCTTATTCTTTGAGGTCTGTTCGTATTTGGTTGATCTATAACTGCTGGTTCCTCTTGTCAAACTTCTCTTTCGACTTAAGTTTCTGGTTCTTCAAGAAATTTTCTCACTAAATCTTTCTTGAATTTTTTTTTCCAATCCCATTCTTTAAGTTCATCTATGATCACGTCCCTGCTGATCACAATCTGCTTGTTCACTGGATCGAACAACTTGTAACCTCCTGTTGAATGATATTCTACTAGAATCATTTGACTCGACTTGTCATTAAGTTCTCTTCTCAACTGATCTGACACATGTATATGTACAATAAATCTAAATACCTTCAGATGACTCAAGCTAGACTTCGTACCAGACCAACATTCTTTTGGCGTAATTCCTTACAGCTTCTTCGTCGGGCATCTGTTTAAAATGTATGTTGTAGTTGACACATCTTTACCCCAAAACTCTTTAGGTAAATTCTTGTCTTTCAACATACTTCTCACCATATTCATGATGGTTGGATTCTTCCTCTATGCAGTTTCATTCTGCTGTGGAGTGTAGGGTGGCACCACCTTCAGCACAATCCCTTCTTTCTCACATAACTTATTGAAGTCTTTCGACACATACTCTCTACCACCAC